TCTGCATTACAAAAGATCATAGGTGGAATCCTGAACCCCATCCAGAATCTTCTGAGGTGGGAAATTTCAACTTGAAAGGACAAGCAGACCAACCTGGAGCAGCTAGAAGAACAGAAGATACTTCTTGAAAGAAAGACCAACAGGAAAAATACAAAACAATAGGCAGTCCAACAGATTACCACAAGAACAAGCAAGTTGTTCACCCAGGAGACATCAAGGCAGGTGGTCGGGTCCCCTCAGGGCAAACCCCCTTCCAAGACTAAAACTCAGTGGGAATACACAAGCAGACATGCACTGTGATTGGTGACCACGTTTGTCACCAATAAGGGGAAGTGAGGGAAAAACAGCAATGAAGCTGCAAGCTAAGCCCTACATTGTTAAATAGACTCCTGTGAACCCGGGTAGAGACCTGGGGACTCTTGGGCCCAGAGTCAGTGACACAGCCACAGAGGACTAGAGTGAAGAGTGAAGTGGCCAGCTGATAAGAAGAGAGGGCATGTGCATAAGAACACCCACACTTGCGGATAATACCCACTTGACCTGGCTTCAATGTCTGGATGATTGGAGCTCAACTAGCAGAAGAAAGAAGAGAAAAGAGTAATCTGATACAATTTGATGAATTTGTATGCAGTAGCTTAAAAGAGGGAACAAATCTTTACAGTGAGAATCATTCCCACCCCCTTGATACACAGGGTAGACAGGGATGGGCAACTTGGACATTGGCTACCAAAATGGGGGTGGGGAGGTGGTGGCGCAACAAAGGCAAGAAGTGACTGGCTTACAAGCTTTCAAGAGGGAGCCTAGATCCAGAGGGTGCGGAGGAAGTATCCACTGAGGAGTATCCAGCCTGGGTGGAGCTGATGAAAGGAGATGGGGATACGTCTCTTGTGATACAATAGTGAATAATTGTTATCAGGACTGACTGTGAGGGTTGGAAATGTAAAGGTAGACGTTTTGTAGTAAAAGGAGGGGAGTGATTAACTTTGCAGTCTAGGAGCGGAGGTCTCTGGGACCATCAATGGAGAAGAGCGGAGTGCGGGACCCTACCCAGAGAAACAGTGATGCCAAAGATGGAGGCAGAGATGATGACGTGGAGAGATGGAGCAGCTGGGGACTTTAGACACAGTGAGGGAGAGGGGCTGTGTGCTGACAACCGGGAGGCAGGCTCGGTTTATTGATGATGCATGGAGGGGATTGTAACCATGGCAATGAAACTATATACGATAGGATGAATGTACAGTTAATGTTCTCCCATGTAAACTATCACAGAATTCACAATAAAACATTAAAAAAAAAAAAAAAAAAGGCTTGGCTATGGGGTACCGAACACCCAGTTTAGCCATTGGCACCTCTTGATGTCAGGGAAACCCCCTCACTTCCATCTCTTGAAGTGTCCAGAATATTGAAAGTAAAGAAAGAGGGCTACTGAGTTGTAGTCTATTTTAAATATTTACTTTGAGCTGAGTAACACTTTGAACACCCACACAAAGCAGTGTGGCTGTGATATTCACAAGATAACAAAAATTCATTTAGGAAAAAAAAAAAAAAAAAACCACTGAAGGCTGGAAGTAGGCTGGAAGTGGCATACCAGTCTACAGTCGCCTGATGGACTTGGCTTCTTTGAGCCCTATATGTGACCTCGTGTGGCACTGTAGGTAAACACTGAACCAGTCCTTGTCTGGACCTCCAGCCACCACTTAGAAACTCTGTTTGCACAGGGTCGATACGAGTCCGAACCGACTTGGCAGCATTAAACAGCAACAACGAATGTTTGTCTGCAGGAGCCCTGGTGACACAGTGGTTACAGCACTTGGCTGCTTACTGGGAGATCAGCAGTTAGAACCCACCAGCTGCTCTATGAGCAAAAGATGAGGCAGTCTTGGACCCCCTATGGGCCGTTCTGCACTGTCCTATTGGGTCGCTATGAGTTCGAGTCACCTCCATGGCAGTGAGTTGTATTTTGTTTCAGGAGGTGGTGGTGGTGGTGGTGTTTGACTGGGTTGTATGTTAACCTCATTTGGGAGATGGTCAAGAGTTTACCTCTGAGGAGGCCCTTGGTGATTGTGACACCCCAGCTCTCCCCTGATTTCTTTCCCATCATCCTGAGGTGTCCTATGCTGGAGTGTCTGGACCAATCTGGAAGAGCAGGTGGGATAGAGAGTCTGGTGAGGACAAGGTCCCAGGCTTGGTCCTCCCTGCACCCTGCCCCCTGCTGGTCATCACAGAAATGAGTTCATTGGTCTAAACACTGGATGGTGGTTCAGGGAGGCCCAGAGGTCCACAAGATCCAAAGTGCTTTCATGGTAATAGGAAAACGCTTGATTTGATTCTCTCACATGAATACAGAAGATGAAATGTTCATTGGTATGTTTTCAGATGTATTTTAGTTTCTTAATGCAACTGTAACAGAAAGCCCACAAGTGGATGGCTATAATGAAAAAATATTAATTTTCTCACAGTTTGAGACTCTGAGTTCAAATCCCAGCTGCATACCAGCTCTAGGGGATGGCAGTGTTGGATCTTCCTTGTCTGGGGCTCCAGTATCCCGGGGTTCCTTTGTGCTTGTCTGTCTCTGAGTGTCAGCTGCTCCTGATACCACTCAGAAGCGATTAGGTTTAGGATACACACTAATCATTGTCCATCTACAAATCAAAGAAAATGCTATTTCCAAATAAGATGGCATATACAGGGGAACCCAACACATATTTTGTTGGCACATAATTCATAAGATGCTTAACAAATGACCGTTGGTTGAATTTTGATACAGTTACCAGAAGAATCTCCACAATTATCTGAAAAGACTATTAAAAGTCTCCTCCCTTTTCGAAATACAGTACATATCAGTAAGAGAATGGGTGCCCTTCACATACTTCAGGTAAAACACCACGGCACAAAAGACAAGCAGGTAGGATCATCCAGCTGTTTCTAGTAAGCCAAATGTTAAATCCATTTGTAAAAATGTAAAACAGTGCTACTCTTCTAATTGCTTTAGATTTGAAATAATAGTTAGTTTTCATAAAATGTCAATTAGACAGCCATTTAATGGGTTTATTTATTTTCTTGATGAGTTAAATATTTTTAAATTATCTCAGCTTTGATTTCTAATATTACACAGTAGATCTAGCCCACATAAACAAAAATTCTTTGTAGTCCATTATTTCTAATGACAGTTTTGTTGAGTTTTTGTGTATCATATTGTTGATCATTGATGCAATATAGAATTCACCCTTCTGAAATGTACAATTCTGTGGATTTTAATATAGCCACAGACAGAGTTATGAGCTGTCATCACTGTCTAATTTTAGAACGTTTTACCACCCTAAAAAGAAACCCTGTACTTATTACTAATCATTCCTCTTTCCCCTGGCCCCTGGCAACCACTCTTCTGCTTTCTGTCTTTATAAATTTGCCTACTGTGAACATTTCATATACGTGGAGTCATACAGTATGTGGCTTCTTTCACTTACTATATGTTCAAGACTCATCCATGGTGTGGCATGTATCAGTACTTTGTTTCTTTTTATAGCTGAGTACTATTCCACTGCATGAAATATACCACAATTTTTGTTTGTCCATTCATCAGTCCATGGACAATAGGGATGTCTCCACCTTTGGGTTATTATGAATAATGCTGATATGAACATTCACTTACAAGTTTCTGTGTGGACTTGTATTTTCATTTCTCTTGGGGATACTTGTATACCAAGTAGTGGAATCACTGAGTCCTATGGTAAATTGTGTGCTTAATATTTTGTGAAAGGATCAAACTATTTCCCAATCATAATCATTTTTAAAGGAGCTCTGGTAACATAGTGATTATGAGTTGGGCTGCTAACCTCAAGGTCAGCAGTTCGAAACTATCAGCCATTTGGCGGGAGAAACATGAGGCTTTCTGCTCCTATAAAGATTTACAGCCTTGGAAACCCTGTACAGGGTTGCTATGAGTCGGAACCGACTCCAAGGCACATAACCACCACCACCACCACCACCACCACCTCCAATCATTTTTAATAGTATAAAAGGGAGAACCACCGGTCTAGGTAGGATTAGTACAAGGAGAGTGGGTGATTTGAATCAGTCTGTCAGCCTTGCTATAGGGTTATGATACCCTCAAGCTTCTCTCTCTCTCCAGCTCCCCTTGTCTCTCACCTACAACACACACACTCTTCATAACAGATTATCAAAGAGTTGGTTGTACCCTTGGTGTCAAGGACAAATCCAATGACATAAGGTAGACGGTGCACAAATTAAGTCTTTAGGAAATTCTGGAGCAGAGTTACTGCCCTACAGGATTCTGGGAGGCGCCATTCCTGTTGTAGTCCCTGCAGATGCACCCCCTGGAGCTGAGCTGCAGCTGCCGCTCCGCCTTACTCCCTGTTTTACAGACCACTGTTGTATGTCACTGGGCACCTTCTGGGTAGCAGAGCTTGGGGAGGCCTTGCTTGCAAAGCTGAGGAGTGCTGTCAGCTTCAGCTATCCATGTGTCTTAGGGCCACCCCTCAAGATTCCTCAAGTCTCACACAATGTAGGGCCTTGCCTAAGCTGTCTGGCCTTCTTCCCTTTGACTGGAGCCCTCCAGAAAGTGGCATTACTGAGTACAGCAGGGGCTGTGATTGGGAGAAACAGGGGTCAAGTGCCAGCTAAGTTACAGTGACGAGGGTGTGGCCCATCCCTCCTTTCTGCTCCTAACCCTTTGATGTCCAGCTAGTCATGTCCACTCTTGCCACTTAGCCACCTGATCCATGTAGCCGTCTCTCCCATTGAAAGAGGAGCTTTGAATGGACTGCCCTTAGCCTCTTTGGAGGACTGATCCACCTGGTAGGTTTTCAGTCATCACCGGGAATGACATATGGAAATAGGTTGGACATGCCAGTGTTTGGAGCCCTGAGTTCACAGGGACTTTGTCTCCATCTGCAGCTCCTCTTTGATGCTCTTGCTTTCTTTTTTCCCTCTTCTCATAACAGATGTGACTCTGGGTCCTTGGTTGGGCACCCCAAGCCATGGCCGACACCATCTTCAGCAGTGGGAATGACCAGTGGGTTTGCCCCAACGACCGGCAGCTGGCCCTGCGAGCTAAGTGAGTACCTCCAAGGTTCTGCCTGGCCTTCCCCACCTCCCCCCTCCCACCCCCACCACCCGTGTTTCTCACCTAGCTTTGGTGAATTCATTGCCATGGACCCAGAAAGAGAAGTTTGGAGAGACATACTTATCTAATGCATACCCGTGCCTGACTCTGAGTGGTGCACACCCTAACCATGTACTCCTTTAGCCACCTTGTACGATGACCCTGTCTTGGGGATGAGTAAAGTGAAGCTTATGATCGAAACCTGGGCCCATGTGACGCCCACATCTGATCTCTCACAGTGGGCTGCCAGGAAGCAGCTCCCTGGTTTGCCACCTTTTTTGTTCTGAGTGTCAACCTCCTCTCGTGAAGCCATGGTCTGTGAGCCCCTGAGGAGAGCTCAGTGCCTGGCACAGCAGGACAGAGTAAAGATGTGGTAGATGACTAAAGAGCTGCTCCCTGCTGAAACTTCCCAGGTCTCACGTCAGTGTCTCTCTAGCCCCCTGCTTCCCATTTGTCCCTTTAGGGATCCTAGCCCTCCTGCTACCCTTCATCTTGGTGACTCCTCAGCTCCAGCTAGGGAGGGCCATCTCCCTTCATGGTGTAGCTGTAGGCTGGGGGCTCCCAGATGACTCCCAGCCTTCCAGTGCCTACCCACCCCTCCAAGGGCCTGAGAGTCCCTGGAGACTGCTGAATCCAAGAGTGCCTCTTCAGCTAGCAAACCAGGCCAGTTCCGGGAGCCAGCAGTCTCCAAATGGGACCAAGTTGAAGACATTTGTAATTAGGCCATTATGAGGCTGCAGGGGGACAGAGCTGAAACATCAAAGGGGGATCAAGAAATTAATCTGCAACGCCCCCAAGGAGTGGAGTCGTTTATGGTTTGCAGGAGTCTTTGTACGACATCTTATTTGTCCCCCTTGCCTGGATGGCTCCACAAGTGAATCCCTTCAGCCTCCCCGACTCGACTTGGCGCCCCACAGTGCCCACAAGGAGGAGAGAGGACAGGGATGAAGTTGTTCCTGGCCCTCTCTTTCTCTCCTGACACCTGGCTGAGGTGATTGCCCTCCCTGACAGGATATGAGGGCTCTGTGTGACTCCCCCGCCCCCCTCCAATAATCCCTTCAGTTCTCCCTGACCTCCTCTCGCTCTCAGCTGCAGTCAAAAGCTGCTGTTGCAGCTGTTAGAAGAGCAAATGCTTTTATCTCCTTAGAGTTTGCTCCCTAATACAGCCCAGCAAAGTCTCCTGAAGGAAAGTAATACAAACCCCAGGGCTGCAGAGCTGGGAGCTGTGCCCCAGAGCCTCTCTGGGAAGCCTGGGGAAATTGTCCTTCCCTGCAGCTCAGGACTTCCCTCTAACCCTCCATCAAATGATTTCTAATCCCCTACTCTGTTCTAGAAGGAGCTCTGGTAACATAGTGGTTATGAGTCAGGTTGCTAATCTCACAGTAAACAGTTTAAAACTACCAGTGGCTTCGTGGGAGAAAGATGAAGCTTTCTGCCTCAGAAACCCTAAACCAGTGTTGCTATGATTCGAAACCAACTCCACGGCACATAACTACACCACCACCACCATGTTGTAGTCTCTGGCTGCGTAGCAGCTAGCAAGACCAACATGGAGCCTCACCTTAAGGAACTGATGGGGGAAAAGTGAGCACGCTGACAATTATACAGGCAGGCCTCATTTGTACTGCACATTGCTCTCGTGTGCTCAGCAGATAGATTGCATTTTTTACAGATTGCAGGTCTCTGGCAACCCTGCGTCAAGCAAGTCTGTCGGCCCCGTTTTTGCCAACAGCGTGTGCTCATGTTCATCACATTTCAGTAATCCTCACAATATTTCCAACTTGTTCGTAATGCTGTGGCATATGTAATAGACGACAGTACAGTGTAAACATGAGTCTTATATGAACTGCAAAGCCAAAACATTGGTGTGCCTCACTTTGTTGTAATATTCACTTTATTGCCTTAGTCTAGAACCAAATCCGTAGGGCCTCCGAGGTATGCCTGTACATCTGCTGGTGCTTTCAAGGTGGTAATGGCACAGGGCAGGGCAGGGGGCTGCTCAGTTCGTCTAGGAGTTGGGGAAAACTTCTGTTGAGACCCAGAGGAGGGGTAAATGTTAGGCGGAAATGAAAAGGAACAGCATGTGCAAAGCCCTCAGGTGAAAGGAACGGGGCTTCCCCTGTAGAGAATTTGAAAGGAGTCTAGAACAGCTTGAGTGCAGAGAGTGAGGAGGCAAACATCATGAAAGGAAGATGGGCAGGTGGGCAGGGCCTGTCCTTTAGAGACTCAGATTCTGGAGAGGAAACAGAGGCCCCAAAAGCTGCATACTCATGTGTGAGACCAGTGATGGGAGCTCTCCTAACTTATCTGTCCTAGAAGGGATCTAGGAAAAGCCTCCTGGTGAAGGCCACGTCTGAGAAATCTTAGAGATGTAAAGAATAGGGTCAATTCTGCTCCTAGTTGTATGCTTAAAGGAATTTGGAAGCCAAGGACTCAAGCAGATTCTTGTACGCCAGGATTCATCATCTCAGCACTGTTCAAATAGCCACAGGTGGAACAACCCTGGTGTCAGTAATTCAGTCACCGCTACTCTCCATTCCATCTTTTTAAATTTGCCTATTCGAGGTACCTCATACAAGTGGGCTCATATAATACTTGCCCTTTTGTGTCTGACTTTCACTGTGCATAGTATTAATGGGTTCATCGATGTTGCAGCATGCATCAGAACTTCATTCCTTTTTATCACTAAATAATATTCCGTTGTGTGTATATGCCATCTTTTGTTAATCCAGTCATCTGTGGATGAGCAGTTGAGTTGTTGCCAGCTTTGGACTATTGTGAATAATGATACAATGAAGGTGGGTGTACAGGTATCTCTTTACATGCCTGCTTGCATGTCTTTTATAAAAATACTTTAGAATGGAATTGCTGGCTCATGTGGTAGTTCTCTGTTTAACTTCCTAAGGAACTGCCAACCTTTACCATAGTGTTCCATCTCAATTTCTTATATCACACAGATTGCAATTTTCATTCTTTCCTTGATAATCTTCCACCACCATCCACCCCTAGAAACCTCACAGGCTGTGACTCTAGCCTTCTCCTTTTGTAGAGTGGCCATATTCCAGGTTCTTGTCAAAGCCCAGTAGCTTGCAGATGGCAGAACAAGCACTTGGAGCCTGGTGCCTGTCCCGGCTCTGTTCCTTGTGCCCTGGGCCCAGCCCACAGTACCAGACTGTAGAACCATCATCTCATTGGGAGTTCCCAGACTCATTGTGGGGAGCCTTATGGATGTAGTGGTTGCAGGGGGCAGGGTGTTGGAGGGAGAACTGAGGATGTTGTCTGGTTTGTTCTTTCTCGAGGCTGCAGACAGGCTGGTCTGTGCATACCTACCAGACTGAGAAGCAGAGGAGGAACCAGTGCCTCAAGCCTGCAGAGGTGGAGGCCATCCTGCAGGTCATCCAGAGGGCTGAGCGGCTTGACGTCATGGAGCAGCAGAGGATTGGGTAAGCTGGGCAGGGGCGAGATGGAGTGAGAGGAAAGCAAGGGTGGTAATGCTAGACCACCGCACCAGGAGTCTGGTTCTCTAGGCTCTAGCACTGACTTTGTACAGCTTCTCTGTCTAAGCCCGATACCCCTAACCAACCCACCAAAGCTTCCAGTTTTCTCTGTGTAAGATGGGTACGCAGCACGCATCTGTCACTTTGCCATTCTGTGTGGCTTTCATGTTGCTTTGATGTTAGAAGCTATCCCATCCATGTTTCAAATATCAGCAGGGTCACCCAGAGTACACGGGCTTCAGCAAAGCTTCCAGACTAAAGAGTAGGAAGAAAGGCCTCGTGATCTACTTCTGAAAACTAACCAATGGCAAATCCTCTGGATTATGGGAAAATGTTGTTCAATTTCATGCTGGAAGCTGAGCCCCCTGCCCATGTTGGAATACACTCAAAATATACCATGGTTACAACAAAGAACTCAAGCATGCTCCTGGTCTTAAAGATGGCGCAAGACCAGAGAATGTCTCTCTCTGTTGTATGCAGGGCGTCATGAGCCCATGGTAGCTGCCAATAAGATGGAGACAATTTCTGGTGTTTGGATGCCAGGCTGTGGGAAGGATGACAAAACGTGATCAAACACTTTAGGGGCCTTTCAGCACCCTACAATAAGGGTTAATTGTGATTCAGCTGAGGGAGGCTCTTAAATCAACCAGAATGAGGGCATCTCTAACTGGAGACCTCTCCAGCTTGTCCTAAGCCCTTCTCCTGGTCTCCAATGTCCAGCTCTGGCTACTACACTTTTTGTGTGTATCTGTGAAAACATACATAGCAAAACGTAACACCCATTCAGCAATTTCTACATGTAATATGGAAAGCACTGGACTGTGAACTACAAGGTCCATGGTTTGAGCCCCACAGCCGCTCTATGGGAGGAGAAAGGTTAGGCTTCCTGCTCCCACAAAGATGTAAAATCCTCAGAAACCCTAAACAGGACCACTATGAGTCAGATTTGACTCACAAAGGCACTTGACAACAACAACTCAGCATTGAGTCCATGTTTCAATTTGTGTCAGCATCCTATCTAGTCCCAAATTATTTCACCACTGGTGCCTTAGACTCGCTGCTCCACAGACTTCTCATTTGTGCCTGAGAATTAACTGGTGTTAATTTGATCTCATACAGATAATTCTTCAAAAGATTGAATATTCAAGGCAAACATTCTTTATTAATTGGGCTAAACTGTTGTTCAGTTTCAAGATGAATTCAGGGGATAATTTCAGCTCAAAGTTTAAAGATGATCTCAAGGGAAATAGATTTAGGAGCCTCCTCAGTCTCAATGTGGCCAATAAGCCTGGAGTTCATAAGACTTTAAAATTTCATTTTACATTTCCCCCTTTTGACCAATATTCATTTATTGAATCCTTGATCAAACTATTCCATAATGGTAGCCCATCCACTTTTCTAGTCTCATGGGGGTGATTAGACCTGCAGCCTATTTCCTCCTCCAATATGTGGGCCTCTTTCCTCTGTGCTTTGAGCTAATCATTTGTTGGATCTTCATTGGCCACTTGTAAGCTTTTAAGACCCCTGACTCCACTCAGTGAGTCTGTAAACACTTTTGTTGTATCTTTTTTTCTGTGTGCATAAAAGTAATTAATACTTGGTAGAAAATGGGGGAAACACAGAAAAAGCACTCATCGGGAAGCAAATGTACTGCAATGAGCAGGAATTAATTCAATTCTGGCCTCCTTGTTCTTCCATTTATCGTTTTCTGTGAACTATATGATCTGTTGTTGTTGTTTTTTTAAACCAGACATTGTAAGAATGCACAATGTAGAAAGTGACACTTCTGTGGTGTCCTCTCTGCAAAGGTAATCATTGTCCCTGGCCAGTCTGCAGTACCTGCCACAGTCATCCTGACTTAGTAACCTACACTTCATTACAAAAAGGCTTTACCATGCAAGCCAGTTGTATTTGGGGGCTTTTTGTTTATGGTTTGTTTAGCTAGCATAAATAACAGCCTTGCCCTCCCACAGATGATGCCCTGGGCCCTCATCAGACAGAAAATCCCCACACAGAGATGATTGGCATACCATTATTAGCATCCTTGGCTCCCCTAGGAGAACTTGCTGGCAGAGATGGGGTTTGTATGTAATGTTGGCTCCCCTGTGCCTTGGGAAGCATTCACTGGCCTCTCATCCACCTGGGCTGCCATCCTTAACAAACTCCTCTCATCTGGCTTCACCCAGGAGTGTGGGTGGGCTTGCCGAGTGTGGGAGTTACCCAGATGGCAGTACCTCAGGTTTATCATCTGAGATGAAGGAGGTGGGCCTTGTGTTTTTACATGAATTAGCATGAGACAAAAGATCAAATAGGAAGAAGGTCCCTAAGAAAAAGCAGGTCCTACCAGATTGAAGCCCTGGTTGAGGGACAGTCAACCCTAGCCAGACTTGCTGATGGAGAACATGCAGAGGATGTGGTGACCTCGCTGCCCACTCTGCCCTGCCTCAGCTCCGGCAGCAGTGCCTTACCGCAGGGGGAAGAGTGAGGTCTGTGTGAGAGTGTGAAGAAAGTGTGGGCCTGGGCTATGCTCTCCTGGCTATGATGGATCCTGTCTCTACCTTTTAGGAGCAGTGTGACCCTGGCAAGTAACTTCACATCTCTGAGCCTCAGTCTCCTCGTCTTTAAAATGGGAAAAATAGAGCCCTCTTCACTTGGGGATTATGGCAGTGAGAGGAGATGAAGTAACTGTATTTTGCCCTTCATTCATTCGGGAAATTTCAGAGTGTCCACTCTAAGGGAGACAGTAAGCAACAGAAGAGAAGTGGCCGCCAGTTTCATGGTGGTCAGACTATGACGGGACCACAGTGTGATGAGGGGGCTGAGGGACCTCAGGAAGAGGCTCTGATCCCAGACTTAGTGGGGCTCAGAAAGGCCCCTGGAGACCCGGCCTCTAAAGGTCCAGAGGGGAATTCTTTTTCCTCTTTCCTCCAGCTTCTCCAATGAAAAGCCTCTACGTCATCCTGGACCACTGTCTAACCCTCACCTCAGACCCATCAAGGCTGCCTCCAAAATGTAGCCCATCCTGGTCTCCACCCTCCTTCCCTGGACCTTGGCCACTGCTTCCTCCTGGCTTCCCTATCTCTGCTCTCCCCTGGAATGCGGCATCACAGAAGCCAGAACAAGATTGAACAAAATTAGACTCAGAGCAAATTACTCCCATGCTTAAAACTCTTCACTGTGGCTTCACACTGATCTTAGAAGAAGAAAAAAAATCCATATTTCATTCTGTGGCATGCAAAAACCCATGTCATCTGGCCCTTCCTCTTTCTTCAGCCCTATTTCATTCTGTGTTCCCTCTTGCTGTTCCCTCTACCTGGAATGCTTTTCCCACGGGCTCAGAGAGGCCTTCCTGACCCCCATCTTACATGCCTCTCCCTCCCTCAGTATTCTCTGCTCCCTCTCCCCACTTATTTATATACCGTGAAGTTTCTATCTGAAGTCATTTGTAGACTTTCTCTCTTTATTGAACTGAAGTTCTGTAACAGCAGGGACCGTGTCTGCCTCTGGCTTGTTTGCTACAATAGTCCCAGCTCCTAGAACTCCTGGTCTCCAACAATTTACTCCAACGATGAAGGAGACTTGAATGACATAGGCAATTTATCAGCTGTGGTAATAGTTCCATTTGTGGAAGGTTCCGGATCATTTGAATTTTCCCTGAGAATGGGGATGGTGTTTCTAGTCAGGAGCCCTGGTGTAGCGCTGTAGGATAAGCACTGGACTACTAACCACAAGGTCAGCAGTTTAAACCCATCAGCTGTACCTTTGAAAATCCTATACTGGGTCACTATGAGTTGAAACTGACTCTATGGCACTTAACAACTACAGTGTAGGTTTTCAGGTAGTATTGGTGACTGAATGCATACATTAGGAGCTAGCTAGGAGCGGGGCATGGAACGTTGTCCTGAGTGAAGGGACAACACACAGCACATGGTATAGCTCCCGGTCCTTGTGGTGGCTGTACCAGGGCAGTACTTGGGGTCAGACAAAGGAAGCCCATTCCCTCTGATTCCGTGTCTTATACTGCAGGCGGCTGGTGGAGCGGCTGGAGACCATGAGGCGGAATGTGATGGGGAACGGCCTCTCCCAGTGTCTGCTCTGCGGGGAAGTGCTGGGCCTTCTGGGAAGCTCATCAGTGTTCTGCAGAGACTGTCGGAAGGTAAGGTTTTGCTACACAGCCTGGACTAACCCTGCTGCTCTGGCTCCCAAAACTACGCGTATGTGAGTGTGTAGTGTGTGTGTGTGTGTGTGTGTGGTGGGGTGTGGGGTGGGGGGGACATGTATTCCCATGTACATGGTCTCCGTGCTTCTCAGCAAGAAGAGCTAGGGCCTCAAAGTCAGATGACCTGGCTTTTAAGACCAGTTCTAGACAGTGGACTTGTGGCTCTCAGAGGCCTGAGTGTGAAACCAACTCTTCCACTAGTCATATGTCCTTCAAGAACTTGCTTAATATCTCACGCCTCATCTTCCTCATCTGTAAAATAGGGATAATGACATGTATTTTAGAATTATGAGGACTAAATATTATTAAATGCAAAACGTTTAAAACCTTGCCTGGCACATAGTTATTCAATAAATATTAACAGTTATCATTAACAACCTGAGATATGTAGATGATACAACCTTGCTTGCTGAAAGCAAAGAGAAGTTAAAATACTTACTGATGAAGATCAAAGACTACAGCCTTCAGTATAGATTTCACCTCAGTGTAAAGAAAACAAAGATCCTCACCACTGGACCAGTAAATAACATAATAAATGGAGAAAATATTGAAGTTGTCACAGACTTCATTTCACTTGGATCTACAATCAACATTCATGGAAGCAGCAGTCAAGAAATCAAATGACAAATTACATTGGTCAAATCTGCTGCACAAAACATCTTTAAAACATTCAAGAGCAAAGACGTCAGTTTGAGGACTAAGGTGTGCCTGACCCAAGCCATGGTAATTTCAAAAACTTTATATATATATGTACAAGTTGAACATTGAATAAAGAAGACAGTAGAAAAGTTGATGTATTTGAGTTAGTTTTATGATGTTGGAGGAGAATATTAAAAATACTATGGACTGTCAGAGAAACAAACAAATCTGTGTTGGAAGAAGCACAGTCAGAATGCTCCTGAGAAGCCAGGATGATGAAACTTTGTCTCTCATACTGTGGGCATATTATCAAGAAGGGCCAGTCCTTGGAGAAGGACAACATGTTTGATAAAGTGGAGCGTCAGTGAAAAAGAGGAAGCTCCCCAAGGAAATGGATTGGTACAGTGGAAGCAGTAATGGACTCAAGTTTAACAATTATGAGCATGGCTCAGGACCAGTCATAGAGTCACTGTGAGTCAGAACTGACTCAACAGCACTTAACAACAAAACAGCATCATTAGATAAATAATATTCTTCTCAGGGCCACGTAGTTTACCACTCTAAGGATACAGTAACCACTGCATACTAGTTAGTATTGCCCTTTCTGTTTTGTGTGTGTGATCTACTGATCCCTGGCTATTCAAAGAAGGATGATCTTTGCAGCAAGGTAAAACCGTTTTTCTCCTTGTCATATGCTCCACTGATGACAGGTAATCCCCAACTCAGGGTTTCGTTCTGACAACTCCTGTTGGAAGTCGGTCTGATGTAAGGCTAATTAATGCTTCCTCTTTTTCCTAAGGGTTTTCATTATTATTGTCTTTTATTATTAGTATCTTTATAAATCTGATCTTTATTTGTCTTTGGGGTTGGCAATACTATAAATTTACAACCATATTTTAATACATGTGTATACGTGACATAGGAGTCCCAGTGTGGCACTGTGAAATAAAGCACTGGACCACAGATCGGTTTGGACCGCAAGGTCCACAGTTCAAAATCATCAGCCATTCCTTGGAAACCCTATACAGGGTCGCTATGTGTCGGAACCATTGAGTTGGTTCTGACTCATAGCAACCCTGTATAGGGTTTCCGAGGAGCAGCTGGTGAGCTTGAACCGCCGACCTTACAGTTCAGACGGCTTTGCAGTCTGGCGCATTAACAATACACACATTAAAAATGCAAAAATCATAAAAATTTGCTCCAACAATGAAGAAGCGTTGGATGACATTGGCATTTAGTCAATTGTGGTAATAGCTTCACTTGTGGAAGGTTCTGGATCATTTAAATTATCCCTGAGAATGGGGATGGTGTTTCTAGTCAGAAAAGTAGTAAGAGCTGTCTGTACATTTCCATTTTTGCTTCATATATACATATCTGGCGGTAAGATCACACAGCTTTCTGAATCTGCCTGTGGACTATAGTAAAGCCATCATTGTTTGGGGGGACCAGGTTTTCAAGCAACTGAAGCCCCTGATTCAGTTTAGAAAAAAGCTAAACTATTTCTTTCACTGTAAGCATTTTGGCAATGTTTATCCTTCCTCTTCCTCATTATTTTGTTATTTTCAGTGTTAACTTTCCTCTTCAAAATCCATTAAGTCCTGATTTGCAATTCCCTTTCTTTGAGATCTCTGAGCTGTTCCACAGTGAGGATGTCGAGTTCTAGATTCAGCATTCTTACCATATGGGTGATTTCCCTACTGATGTCTTCCGTCATATTGTTCTGATCAAATGCTTTGTTTACCTAACTCGGCATTTTTTCCATATCTTTTGCATACATTTTCCTGTCACTTCCTCCCCAAAAGATGCAATATTCCAAATACACGGAAAAATATAATTCTTCCACAAATCACGTAATGTTACTACTGTACCTCTATCTGTAGTACTATTTCTAGCTACTGCCCAAGCAAACATAGTCTGTAGGTACTGTGCATAGCCTGAAGGTAGTGATTGCACTCTGACCCATAGGCTGAATCATAGCTGTCATGTTGGGAGTTAGATTTACCACTTTCACATCTTGATGTACATCTTCTATGTGAGGAAGATGTCCAGGACATTATAAAGTAGTAGAATCTTGAAAGGAATGCTCTTTTCAAGGCAGTAGGCACACACTTCTGGGATGAAAACAATTTAAAAAGCAGTCTTCAAATAGCCCAATCGTCATCCAGGTCTTGGCATTACTCTGGTGGTAGACCAGCAGTTTATTTTTGTCAGGGCTTCTGAATACTAGCAGGTCTTCAGAGTGGTAAACAAGAAAAGGTTTGAATTTAAATCCAGCAGCTTCTTCAAGCAGCAGCATGATTCTGTCCTTAAATGCCTCGAAACCAGGTATTGACTTCCTCTTTATGAATATAGGTCCATTCTGACATGCTTTTCCAAAACAAGTCTCCTTCATCTGTGGTGAAAATCTCTGGTAGATTTTCTTTATTTTGTATTATCTTGTCCAGCTCATCATTGAATTTTTTGGCTTCAACATGAGCACTTCCTGCTTCACTGGTTGTGTGCATGTTATGTAAGCCAAAATCTGCATTTAAAGCTACGAAACCAGTCCTTACTGGCGTTAAAGTAGTCATGGTATTCTCCTTGCTGTTCCTTCAAGGTTTCAAAATGTTATGTGCTATGAAGGCAGAGACAATGATGTGGAGAGATGGAGCGGCTG